AATTGATGGGCTATTCTTTCTCCCAAAACGTGTTTACATTTTAATAAGGGGCTTCAATCAAAGGAGTGAGTTGAATAATGGGGATTTCAGGTGCTTTGTCATGATAGGCCAACAGGGCAGCATTTTCTTCCTAAAGGTATGGCCTTGTGGATTTTCCCATCTACTTCCTCTTAAGTGTCACACCAACTGGGTGCTCAGCCACTTTGGCCACTGAAATTATTTGCTCCCATGGCATTAAGGACCCTGGTTTTGTCTTCTTTTAGGATGTAGACACGTTCAGTTTTTTATTTAATAATATTTTATTGTTTTCAGTGAAGGCTTACACAGCAGTTGAGGTTCCCATTCAACAATTTCTGTACAAGTTGTCCAGTGACATTGGTCACATTCTACACAATGCATGGACATTCCCATTATTTCCGTTCTGATCATTCCATTGCCATCAGTGTAGTTATCTTGCCCTCTTGCATTCTTGTCTTTGTTTTAAAGTCATTGTTAACCATTTTTTCTCATATAGGGGATGTTTTAAAGAAGCACAGTATCTATGAGTGATATTTATTATTTTTTGAGCCAATTTGTTATTTAGCTACAGGGTGACCTCAGGGGCTAGTTTTGGTTCAAGGTTTTAAAGAGTTTCTCAGGGCAATCACCTCAGGGAGTCTGCCAGTTTCAACCAGTCAATAGATCTCATTTTTGTTGTTGTTGTTTAGGATTTTGAGGTTCTGTTCCTCATTTTCTCCCATTCTATCAGCATCCATCTATTGTGGCTCAGATCAGAATGGTTGGTAGTGGTAGCCAAGCATCACCTAGCTCTGGTCTCAGGGTAGATGACACTATGATTCCTGTAGACTATGTGTCATGTATACTAGTTTCTGACACTTATAGCTTTTGAAACACAAACTCTCCAATGCAGCAAACATTTCTGTTCTAATATGACATAACTATAGGCTCCAATCTTATCTAAAAGAAGAAAAATCTATATGAACACATAAGAGAATTATTCTGACTTTAATATTCACTAACTTCTTTCTCATTCTGCCCCTTCCAAACTTCCAAATGAGTACTTAGATGGTATCTCTTCTGGGATTTAGTGAAGAAATCTTTGTTTGTGAATGGAATTCATTTTGATTTCCCCCGGTAATATTCTTCTCACACAATTAGGCACAGCTTCACGACTCAAGGGAGAGAAATAGTAGCGATCTTCATCAAAGTCATCTGCATCAAAGGAAAAAAAAAAAGAGAGAGAACATTTTCAGCTTTGGCATCGAGAATTTTCCACATAATAGAAGCATAAAATTTTATTTTACTTTACTTGGATGCACAATCAATGCCCACGAGAGCAGCAGTCAAGAAATCAAATGACATATTGCACTGGGCAAATCTGTTGCAAAACACGTCTGTAAAGTGTTAAGGAGTAAAGATGTCACTTTGAAGAGTAAGGTGTGCCTGACCCAAAGTATGATATTTTCAATCACCTCATATGCATGTGAAAGCTGGACAATGAATAAGGAAGACTGAAGGAGAATTGATGCCTTTGAATTGTGTTGGAGAAGAATATTTAATATAACATGGACTGGCAGAAGAACGAACATGTCTGTCTTGGATGAAGGACAGCCAGAATGCCCTTTAGAAGCAAGGATGGTGAGACTTCGTCCCATAGACTTTGGGCATGCTATCAGGAGGGACCAGTCCCTGGAGAAAGACATCATGCTTGGTAAAGTAGAAGGTCACTTAAAAGCAGAAGATCCTTATCGAGATGGATTGACACAGTGGCTGCAACAATGACCTCAAAATACAGCAACAATTGTGAGGTTGGTGCAGGACCAGACAGTTTTCTAACAGCACCTAACAACCACCACAGAAAACCACTAAAACCAAACTCACTGCAGTTGAGTCGTATCCAACTCATAGCAACCCCTCCTTGGGTGTCTGAAGTGATATCACTACGGAAGTAGATTGCCCAAACTTCCTTCCAAACAACCACAGAAGCATAACAAATTTGTATTGAATGAAGGAATGAATAAAGGAATTCAGAAGGAAGTGAAGGCTGCAGGGCTTTCCTTGCATAGTTTCATATAAATTTGGGGTGAATTAATTCTTCCTGACAGCACAGTTTAGGCAATCACAAATGTATGTATGTATGTGTGTGTGTGTGTGTGTATGCTGTTGTTAAGTGCCGTCGAGTCGTTTCCGACTCATAGCGACCCCATGCATATACATGTTGTTGTTGTTATTTGCCGTCGAGTCGGCCCCGACTCATAGCGACCCCTCCTTGGGTTTCTGAGGCAGTATCACTACGGAAGTAGGGT